TAGCTGAGAGCTTAAATATACACCATAGATCTACCACACCACAATGAGCCTCCTATTTCTGAAACAATAGACCTCAGAGACTGGATACTTATCACTTATCAGTCTACTGTATCTTTAAAGTATATGTAAGTCATGACTGCCTTCATATTTGTACATTGGATAGTACAGAAATTTTCACAGAATACATTTTAAGTTTTAAAAATTCAGATTCAGATGCCTTAAGGGCGCAAACTGAAAGAAAATATTTTTTTATTTGTTTTCAAATGTGTCAGTCTCACTACTTTGTCACTCCTTTACCCAAATAGAGAGATGTGAAAATACCATTGTAATACAATTAAAACATTTTATTTTTCAGAAGTTGTTTTTTCAGACTGACAGTTATACGTTTTGGCAATTCTACAGGTATCTTGTTGTTTGCAATGAGACTCCTGTGTCATGGCATTAACTTTTTTCATCATAATAAATATCAAAAGTATGTTTAGTAGAAGAATTGAGTCTGCATACAGTATATTCCATGACAAAAATAGAAACATATATCATGGAAAAATATCTTGAATGGATATACAGTCACTGCTAAATTAGGAAGCTCCCCCCCAAAAAAAAACAAATTAAGAAACTGAAATCCACTCCCTGAATCTATGATGCTTACACTTTTATGACACAGAGCCATTTGTTTACTATATTTTATTGAAAAAAAAAAACATGTGGGGCTTACTGCATCCTCCAGATGATTGATTTGCATATTTTCTTTGTGCTATTTTTATGCCCTGGTCCCGCTGTACTAAAATTGTTCAAAATTCCTACTGGATAGTTATATTCACTTCTCTTTGGCAGTCCAATATTACTGTTTACTGTATGTATTCCTATGAAGGAAGCAAAATACAATTTCAGTTGAGCCAGTTGAGCCTTCCCCTTCACTTACTCCTATTGCATTTTAGCACCCCAATCCATGTTTATAAGCGACTCCTGCTGTTCCAATGACTGCTGCAGCAGAGCAGCCATTTAGTTAATTAATGAGGTTTCTTTCAGTTCTGCTTAATTTGGGAAACAGGGATAATCAACTGTTAAGAATCAACCTTCTTCCTTGCCATTTGAAGGAATCACAAACACAAAATGAAAAAAGATAAGGTGGATCATAAAAATGGATGAAGAGTGTTTCAGGAACTCTACAGGATTGCCATCCTGACATACTGGTCACAAGATTTTCTTCTCATTAAAATAAGTTTGCTTTATTAGCCATATACAATTTCTTGCATTAGGAATTTGTCTTTTCACATACCCCAGCATGTTCTTTTATGCATTGTTGACACACAGGCACACAGATGGGGAGAGAGAAACTTGGTGTCAGAACACAGGGTCAGCCATTTATATGGCACCTCTGGAGCAGCTGGGGTGAGGGGCCTTGCTTAGGGGTCTAGTGGAGTAGGATTTCTCTGCTGGCTGTGGGACTTGAACCAGCAACCTTATAGCCACAGGCACAGATCCTTAGCCACAGTGCCACCACTCTGCCCATTCTCTCAACTGTTGAATATACAGTATGTTCCTGCCTAGCAAGCATATATTGTAGTTTAATGCATGTTGTCATGACTAACTCTAGTACAACTGGAGAAAATGTGCAGTGGACATCATTATATTGTGCATGCCCTGGTTTCTGTTTTCTTTGGGCTAAACACCCAAGTGTAAAGCTACTGTACGTTCTGGAACAAATTCTGGAACAAAACATATCTGAATTGTAGTAGAACAATTCTGTAGTGCAGGTGTAAATGCACCCAAGTGTCTTAGCAATAAATTGCCTGCAAGTTGACTAATTTGTCAGCATTGTGCCAAAAACATGTGGTCCAGATGTTGTCATTAACAAATGTTGGAGTTCTTGTTGCTGGAAATCCTTAGGAATAATAAAGAACAACAAATACCGAGTTCAAATACTACATATTTAATACCTACTGTAATGCTTTTTAGGTTATTTATCATCCTTATTGCAACATGGAATCTATTAGGCTAGTGAAATTCACTCCTGGTCCTGGAAGGCCACAGTCCATCAGGTTTTATACATGGCTTTGAATCTTTAACACATACCCATTTTAATATAGAATAATTAAGTGAACAACTCCTTGAAATGCAAGTCTTTAGGAGTCCAGAGTGGAATGAAAACTAGGACCATATGGGAAGATCAGTGCACTAGATTGTGTTTTTATCAGCATTGTATTATATTTTTGCTTGAAAAACTGAACCAGATTTAAGCCGGACCATGGTACTGTTTATAAAACTAAAATGAAAACAATTGTTCGCAGATCTCTTTTTTGTGTTCTTTACAGTGTAACCATTTAAAAAATACTGTTTTTGAAGATATTAAAAGGGGCTTTTAGCACTTCACATGTGGATTATAAACTAAAATAATGGGCTATCCTATTCTTGGGATAGATAGTGTTTCTTTACTTGTGTTCTATGGGCCAAGAAGATTGCTGCCACAAAGACAGGAGCTGTATAGTAGGAGAGGTAATAGTTTTTGTGCTTATTTTATGAAAATAAGTTTTAACTATTATTTTCTGGTTTACAAGTCCCATCTGTAAGTACTATAATCATTTTGCTGTCACAGTTCTGATTTTATTTAATTTTAAAGTAGATGTTCTAAACTTTAATTTGTACAGAATATAATACTTTCAACTTCAAAACAGTATTTCAAAGTGGCAATTCAATAACAACACATTTGGAAAAACTGGCTTATGAATATTGGCCTACATTTTTCTTTCTGTTACAGGTTTTGAAACAGCTAAAAGGAGATAAGTACACTTTCAGCAAAACACAGGGAGTTTTTGAGGAGGCAAAATATAACTAATAATATTTGCAAATTCTAAAGTCTTAGACTAGGTGCAGTGGAAATGTAATATTGACCAACTCTCATTTTGTATTATAAAAATTGTAAGGAAATAAATTATGATAATATTTATTCATTGATCCTTTACAGTTACGTTTTGAAGTCTGTAAATTTATTAGCATTGCATGTACTGATTTTGAAAATAGTTTGTCATTTAGCTTAATCATCTATTCAAAGTAAATAATTTGATATTGGCAGATTGGAGCCATTTTGCTCAATAGGTTGATTAGTCAAGGATGAGCAGAAAGGTATCCAATAGGCAATTCACAAATTAGCTGGTTGATCTAAAATATCGATCAGTTCCACAAAGTCATTACACAAAATAATAAGAGGTGGACACATAAATGACATAATTGGCTTTAAAATAACTTTTAAAGGTCCCTTGCAATCCACACAAACACTCTTTTTTCTGATTTATATTGTACTGATTGTAGACGAAAGCTGCAGAAGAATAAGTTCAACACAGATAATGCCAATTGCTTACTTCAAAAGAAAAAGAAAAGGCTCACTTGATTTCTCTTTAGAGTCTCACAAATGCAGGTGTGTTTTCACTTTGTAAGAAAGGTAAAGTAATAGTATAGATAAGTATACAGTATACTAGAGCTTCCTTCTTTACTAGTCATAGGGGGTACTCCCCTCTGAAAACATGCAGTATATAAGGAATTAAAAAATGCATAAGAGAAACAGACAGAATATTTTGTTTTGAATTCAAATATTGAATGTGTGTTTTGTGCTGTTTATTCTGTTGACATTAGATTTTTCTTTTTTAGTGACATTTCATCCAATTTCTGGCAGATAACATGAACAAATACAGAGATTTATAATTATTATTATATAATTATTAAGTGATTATATACATATAAGACTGAAAAGAATTTAAAGGATCTTATTACGGAAAAGACGATACGAGAAATCAAAAGAATTTTGGGATATGTATATATAAACTTAAAATTTGTAGAATTTGAAATCAGGGATGTCATTTTAAAATTGCATAGTGAACTAGTACAACCTCATTTACAATATTATATAAAATTCTAATCAACGTGTTGAAAAGAATTGCTGTTCTGGAATACAGAGTAAGTGACCAGATACATTCCTGGGTTTAAAGAATGTTAAACATACTGAAAGAACCAAATCTACTTATAAGTTTTAGTACAGATGACTAAGAGGGGAGCTATTCATTTATTTAAAATTCTTAAAAGCTTAAACCCAAATTAAACCCAACAGTATTCTTCAGAATCAAAAGTGAAACCTGAACCCGAGAGAAACAAGTGGAAAGCAAGGGGAAATGCATTTAAACTGAGAAAAAAAGGCACAGTTTACACAAATGGTTGTGGGAGGCAGTAACAGGTTGCCTAGTCATATTGTCAAATTTGATACCCATAGCTTCTTTCAAGAAAGGACTAAATAAGATTCTCAGGTCAAACTGTTATTATTATCATTCACATGGGTGTGATGGACTAAATAGCCAACTCTCATTTACAACCATTCTCATGTCTTGAGTTTAAGCAGCTGTAGAACATTCTTAATATTATTTATTAGCATTTTCCCTATTTTGCTCACACTATAATTATAATATTCTTGGAAAGATTGATGGGAAGATAACTGCAGATAAGAACATTTTGGGACTTGAATTTTAAATGAAAAATGTAAAGATTAATTTAAAGACAAAAAAATAAGTGTTTGAAAATTAATGTTGTGTTCAAATTAAGCAAGTGAAAGCATGCTTTAAATTTCAAATGAAGAAAACAGTTTTTGTTTAATGTGATACCTTTGCTTTTATTATTAGTGTCCTACATCTTGACAGTGGTGAAATGTATTGTAGTTTTGCAATGCTAGTTTAGATCCTGACACTGTTGCCAATTTTTCTTCTATTGTACACTAAATAATGCACTGGATTGAAGATGTTCTTTTCCATAAACAGAAAAGTTGGAAATGATGTCCTATGCTGCACATCCAATGCTCTCAACAATTAGTCATGTAAAAGATTTAGAAAATTATCTTAATTTCTTACAATAATCCTAATGATAACATATATCATAGCCTTTTTGTGATATAATTAATCCACTTCTGTTGTCATATGAGATCCTTATAACTCAGATTTATTATATTTTCTTTCTTTCAGAAAACAAAAATATCAACTTATGACAAGATGTGGGAATTTATGAGCAGCCGAAGACATTCTGTACTTGTCAAAAACAATGAAGAAGGTATCCAGCGTGTGCTCACCTCTGATTATGCCTTCTTAATGGAGTCAACGACCATTGAGTTTGTTACACAGCGGAACTGTAACCTGACACAGATTGGAGGCCTTATAGATTCCAAGGCGTATGGAGTTGGCACTCCCATGGGTATGTCATATGTCAGACTTTTGAACTTCCTACATTAATCATTGTTAGTACTAATAAAAGAGGCAGTGTGGCAACAAAATGCCATTAGCTGTTTGTATAGGCTTTTTAGCAGAACACACTTGCTGGGGTTTAATTGAATTTATGCAACAGCTCAAATTTCTAGACCCCTACTATGTATTCATTTTCTAAATGTTTGACCAAGGAAGGACTCCAGGCAAGAAAATATAAAAGAAAGATTGGATCTTTTGTCTTTAATAGTTTTCAGAGAAAACCGGTTTGATTATTCCTCACTGCTACAGATTGTTTAATTGCCTTATGTAAGCAGCCCTGGGCAGTGTCAGATGCAGACAAAAATTATTTGTATGCTGTTTTTTTAGCATGGTACCTTTCAGAAATGATATTCTAAGTATTACTTGGAGATAGTTTAGCACAACTAGTCTAGTTTTAATCTTTGGGTTATATTGATTCAGACTGAATTTGTCTTATTATTCTTACAAAGGAACCAAAGCATATGAAATTGATAAATGGAAGATAAATACAAAGATAAATATTATTTCTTCTTTATAGTTATAAAATTTGACGAGACAAACAGGAAAAAACAGAACCCAACAGAAAATGCACTTAAATGCTAAGTGCATTTTAACAAATTTACAAACATTCATACTTAATGTTTTGAATAATCAGATTATACAAAACAGAACATAAACCAGTTTTTTTTGTATTAGGCAGATTGCATTTCTATGTTCCGACTCTTAAGAATCTGGTACTTATGGCAAGTAAAGAACAAATATCCATTTCAGGAAATGCTTGTTCAAAGAAAAAGTTGAATTGGAGTTTTGTTTGTTGACCTTTTAAAAGACATTTCATGAAGGCAAGTGGCCAACCTTGTGTATGAGGGTCAAAATAATGTTTGCTCAGCAAACACTTAAAAAAATCCAATTTATCTAAACAAATAAAATTACAATTTAACATCATCACATTCTGCATTACTCATAGGGCTGCATTAAAAATGTCATAAGTTCGTGCTTTAAAGAAAAGCAGCAACGATGGAAGTGAAAGACAAAAACAACCTAAAGTCGTGTATCTCATGTATACTTAACAGTAATGGACAACTTTGGCCCATCTAAAATTGACATTTTTTAAACATTTTATATAATATGATATGGTTTGCTAAATTTATATTGAAAGGAGTTTGTAAATCTAAAGATGCTGTAATGTTCAAGATAATAAAAATGTAGACTGTACATATGCTGAACTAATTAGTGCAAAACAGTTCCAAATTAGCTGTTCTGTACAAATGCAGAATATTTTATATTTTTAAGGAATGTATAGTTCAGGGTTTTTAAAAAATTTTCTTCGGGCATAATTAGCTCCAATAAAAATCGTTGTCAATAGTGAATTATTGAATTTCGGGCATATTTGTTTTTGTTTTTAACTATTTGTGTCTTAAGTCATTGTTGACCCATCACATTACATTTTTTAAGTACACGTCTTGTATTGTGACTTTTATTGTTCCTGAGAAATATATTTTATAATGAGAAATATACTTTAATTACATAGGAACTGTTTTTTGTGAATTACTTATTTTTTTCTTTAGATCTGTTATGTTGGAGTTGGATGCTTAACATCTATAAAGGTTGGAACTGAAAACAAGGGTACTTAGATTGTTCTAATTTATGTAATTTCTAACTATAAGTTTAACAGGAAAAGGTGAATGCAGATAAAAAAAAAACAATTTATCTTGACTATTTACAAAATCACATTATGAAAAAGGGTGAAGACAGCCAATTCTTTCTGATACTTATTATGACTACGGGACATTGGCAACTTCTGTAGGCTGTAACCTGACTGTAGGCTGTGACTACCCAACTCCGGCACTAGAAAAGGGAGATGCCAGCCCTCAAAGGGTTGTTATGCAAAACAGCATTGATTATATTTCCTCCTTCCTTCACCGTAAAAGCTTGTTTTCTAATCCAAACAGGACAAATCAAACCCATCTAATCCAGCAATGCTATATGTCAGTCCAAGTGTTTGCATTAAACAGCTCCCACAACAAATCATAGATCATTAAACAAACACCTGCATCTAATTAAGCAAAGGAAACTCACCGTCAGTTTCTTATGTTGAAGCATCTCTACAGCCTATGCAAATGGCTTGAACCACACAGTCAAACCATAAAGCGTTGACACCAAGTGTTGACTGTTTTTCTCCTCCTAGTGCTCATGTTCTTTACTGGGGAGTGTTATCCCCAGCATGTTAAAATGTGTTATCGAACAAGGCAGTAAGTTGTTGAAAACATTTTCTGTAGTTGACCAGATGTTGCTTGCTAAACTGAATTAGTAGTTGCAGTACCATAAGGCTTTTGTTGTGGATTTTGATTTAACTTTCAGTATATATAAAGATGAATACCTGAGAGGTTTCTGTTTTTTTGCAATAAAATGAAGTATTACTTCATTTCATGAAGTTTTGTTGATATGATTTTGCTTTTTCCTTTTTTTACAACTCGACCATCTTGATAGGACATAAGAGACCATCAGTACAATTCAACATGATATTTTTCATTTGATTAGCATGATATTATCATAAACCTCACTGGTTGTGCAAAGGAGTGATTTAATGAACCATTCATTGTGGTCAGAAATGAGCTGCTTGTCTTGTTACCTTTCCTCAAGAGGATGTAAATCCTTCAAATGACATTGACATTTAATTTATGAATGTTTTCTATGTTTCATGTGAGTCAGAAGATCTACAGCCTGCAGAAATTACATTTTAGTTTGTGGCTATCAATTTTAATGTCTGTATATGTTTTTTTTATTAACAAACACACATTGTATATAGCTGGAAGCCTGTTGTAAAAAGAATCATGTTAGCATCATTATTCCCCTGTGAGGAATTTGCTTGCAGCCAAGAAAAGGGCATTAAAATTGCAAATTCTAACCTTTTATTACCAGTTACCATATGTATGCTGTGTTCCCCTGCCTTATTGTTATCCAGGAGTTTTATACGCTGAAGGAGAAAATACCTGTCAAACACTGACAAGTTTGTAGCTTGTAACTTTTAACCCAAAAGTTGCTTACCACAATGATGTGCTTACATATGTGCATTACACAAAATAATTGAATTTCAGCTTAAGAAACACAAAAGATAATTCATATTTAAAATGTATATGACTTTACTGTTGCAAACGTGTAGTTGTTACATTTGCAGCTAACAAAGTCATCCAGAAATTCAGATTATTGCTCTGCGTGTCTTAACATTTCATACTAGACTATTGGAGAAACCTAGTGAGCCCAAGTAGAGCTATGAAATAGGTACTGCATTGAACTATGCACCTATTAAGAGAAGTTCATTCTTAATTTAAAGAACCATTCAGACGATTGTTTGATGAGTTTTTCAGGTGATTGAAGGAACCACATTTAAAATGCTATGCCTGCAAAGGGAGTTTATTTTTTCACTGCATTTTTTTTCTGTTACCTTGTATATACAGTTGCAGGAAAAAGTGTGTAAGCCCTTTAGAATTACGTGGTTTTCTGCACTCACAAAAATGTGGTCTGATCTTTGACTAGTCACAGTAGTAGATATAAGACAAACACAAGCTGCTTAAACTAATAACACAAAACAATTGTACTTCTTCTTGTCAATATTGAACACAGCGTTTAAACATTCACAGTCCAGGCTGGAAAAAGTATGTGAACCGTTGTATTTAGTCACTGGTAGAACCTCCTTTAGCAGCAATAACCTCCTAAATAACCTTTAGCAGCTAATGAGACTTACACAACAGTTAGGAGGAATTTTAGACCATTTCTCCTTCTGATATTGATATTCCTTATGTGAACAGCTCTCTTCAGGTCGTGCCACAGCATCTCAATTGGGTTGAGGTCTGGACTCTGACTTGGACATTCCAGAACACAAATTTTCTTCAGTTTAAGCCATTCTGTTGTTGATTTACTCCTGTGTTTTGGGTCATTGTCTTGTTGCATCACCCAACTTCTATTAAGCTTCAGGTGATGGACCGCTACCCTGACATTCTCCTGTAAAATTTATTGATACAATTTTGAATTCATTGTTCCCTCTAGGATAGCAAGCTGTCCAGGCCCTGAGGCAGCAAAGTAGCCCCAAACCATGATGCTCCCTCCACCATGCTTCACGGTTGGGATGAGGTTTTGGTGTTGGTGTGCAGTGCTTTTTTCCCTCCAAACATAGCATTACGCGTTTCTGCCAAAGAGTTCAACTTTTGTCTCATCAGTCCACAGAACATTTATCCAGAAGCGTTGTGGAACATCCAGATGGTCTTTTGCAAACTTGAGACGTGCAGCAATGTTTTTTTAGAGCAGTTGTTTCCTCCGTGGTTTCCTTCCATTAACACCATTTTTGTTCAGTGTTTTTCTTATAGTGGATAAGAAAAACACTGGTCCTTTGCTGTTTCCCTTGGGTTCTTTTTCACCTCCTTCAGCATTGCACGCTGCACTCTTGCTGTGATCTTTGCAGGACGCCCACTCCTAGGGACGGTAGCAACAGTACTGAATTTCCTCCATTTGTAGACAATTTGTCTTACTGTTAATTGATGAACACCCAGGCCTTTAGAAATGCTTTTGTAGCCTTTTCCAGTTTTATGCATCTCTACAATTCTTCTTCTAAAGTCCTCTGATATTTCTTTTGATCAGGGCATGGTTCACATGAACAACTCTTTCTTGAGAAGAGCAGAATCTGTCAGTAACCAGCCTTTGTGTGCCTTTTTTATAGGGAAGGGCACCTCCAACCCACACCTCCAATCTCATCTCATTGTTTGAAACTGTTGACTCCAATTAGCTTTTGGAGAAATAATTAGCCTAGAAGTTCTGTCACGAATGGTATGAAGAACCCTGTGCAGGTCAGGTAGTGAACAAATCCAATAGGGCAAGACGAAGTCTGAGTCAGGTAGGCAGGCAGTGTCGAAATCCAGGAGGCTGAAGAGAAGGTTCACAAAAAAGGTTTTGCGGGTGAAGAGGAAAACAGGAAAA